GTACATGATTTGAAAATTTTGTAACTAATTTAGAATTCTTCAAGAAAATTTATACAATTCATCATGATTTATAAATAGGATACTTTCATCATTTTCTTTTAAAATTTAACTATAAATGAATAAAATTTTATCTTAATTATTTCTGCACGTTATTTATTAATGATTATATTATTGAATTCGCGTAAAATCAAGTTTTTCGATCTATAAATTAACAAATAAGAATATTTAACTTTTATTTTCTTTTAATAAATACTCATTAATGGAGACTATATTCTTATTATACGACTTTAAACCAAGAATAAGGAGTATCCGTTTTGAAAATTTTGAATAATAATTTAGACGGTATAAGCCTTACTTACAGAGGAGCAAAGGGTCTACGCAACCTTATCCGACAGATAAATGTAGAATTTTATTATCATGACTTAGGTCAGTAGCAAAACCGATCCGCTTCACGGATCCCCAATTGTCTTCTGCATAGGTCTAATTTTTTATGCGACCCGCTTCGTATAAATTCACACCTACAGGCTTAGCATAAAGAGAAAATTCAGACTTATAGGGCCCCTCTATAAACTATATATTGATTAAAAACTTCGAATTTTATTGTTTAACGATCCATATTCCTAGAAAGTCGTTAATGGGGCAATATCGGGCGTTGTCCTCTTGGATATTTCATCCTTCTAGCTATTTCAGAATCTAATTATTTTCTAAGAGATGTTAATTCAAGTTTTTCATCATTAAAACATAATCGAGAACCTTAAATCTCATTTGATGTTAAAAATAATTCGAATTTTCTTCTTAAAGCACTTGCAGAGGTTTAAAGCACTCGACAACGCTTCTTTCGTTCTATCCAACATTTCGAAATACCATAAAAAAAGAGGTCCACTTAGTGCCCACACCATACTTCGTATTAAATAAAAGGCTCCATAAAATTAATTATCCTGGGTTAGAGCACTTCTAAAATGAAGACGTCATTCTATAGGCGGAGTAGATGAGCGCAGATAGAGCCTAAGACCCACTACTTTCATACCAAACATCCTACACACGTATCCTATAGGCTTAGGTTGGATATCTTTATTCATTCCATTCAACTAGCCCCAAATTAATCTAAGTGGCTTTATCTTCAGATCGAAATGGAATATAAAATATATGTAAATGCGATACTCTAATTAGAAATGTAATAATGTCAGAGAAAGCCAAGTAATTCGAAAGAAAACTCGTCCTTTGATAAAGTCGTGAATCGTGAAAACCCACTATTGGAACGTGTACTGAATGGAAATGGATTTCTATCATTAACAGAAGGTCCACATATCTCTTTAATGATGTCTTTTATAATTACTCTTTTTTTTAATGTGATTGATTCCGAGATAACTTTTTTCCTATTATCTGCACCTATCCGGAATGACCAGATATTTAAAATATACATGCCTATAGGCAGCAGTTATTAGACTTGAGTTTTTTCGTCTACTCTGCCGCATCGTTTATCAAAATATTCATAATTTTTAATTTATTTATTACATTTAAATAATCAATTATTGTTACATATGAATATAAATTACAACTCTTACGATACAAATATTTGTATGTTTAGGCTCGTTTCTTTTCTATCAGTCATTTAAACCTCCTTTCCAGTTCTACATACATAGAAAAAAAACTGAAAACGATCTAGTTTAACAAAACTAGGTCAAAATGTATCTGCAAACATGCGGCCGTTCGGTTATCAACTAATTAGCTAATATCTAAACGTGTTATCCACAATCTTATCTAGTATCAAGATCAATCTAGCTATCGGTGTTGAAAACAATGGCTTTGACATGCTTTCTCCAATTCATTTACAATATCATAAATGCCAGAATATTACTTGTTAATTTTTATATAAACTAATTAACCAAGTACAAATTAACTTAACCCGCATAATTGATCTCTCGTAGGCAATTAAAGGTATGCTAAAGTTCGGTAAAAGTATTCGTCAAATATTATCTACTATCTGAAATATTATATTACATAATTGCACGTTAATAAAGTTTATAATCTTATTAATCTTTCTGCTTGATTTAAATCATGTATCAAAATTATTTCTAACAATATCACTTAGATATCATCCCATCTAAACAGCCTGCGAAAAATGTTAAAATCGTTTTTCACCGATACCAGCGAAATCAAGCAATAAATAATTTAATAAAATGTAAGAAAATATATATCACTTAAATAATTATCTTGGAATTTTATCAGATAATGAAGCTTCATAAATCTAAAGTCAATAACAAAAATCTCAACCATGGCTACTAGGCTAAATTTCATGACAAAATAATAAATTATATTTTATAAAAGACTTGTGTTAATCGCAGCTGGATGTAATTATAAATGAAATTAAAATATTTAGCTTATAAAAATAAATTTTAAAAGTGTAAGTATATTTGAGATCCGGTGAATGGTTAAATCTGAGTATAAGTTAAACTATAAATAGCTCTGAATAATTCAGATAATGTCGAAGAGAGATTGTATAAACCCACTCCATTACCCAATTACTGAGATTTTATACGTTATTTCTAATATATAAATAACTTATGAAGTAATGTGATGAAGATAGATCTTTATGAAAATAATAAATTGTCATTTCGTCAATGAGAATACCATTAAAACTCATTTCAGATTAAGTAATAAAAATTAATTATTCATATATAATTATTTTGTTTTCGTGTAAGAAAAAAATTAATTTTAAAGTGACCTCCAGACTTTAGTAAGGTTAACTAGAACTTAAAATTCTCTAATAAGTTATAAATCCAAAACTATAATAACATTATAGCCGTTTAAAATAAGAAGGTAAATTTCTTTAAGCTTAAATTATCGTCAGAATCTAAGAATATGAAATGATTTTATCTGTAGGAAAATTCGGGAGAGTTTATTAAAAATTAAGGTTTTTTAAACCCATAAAATGTATAATTTAATTGATTATTACATAATAAAATTTTGAATATCCGAATTTTAATATCAACTTTTAAAAGTAGGCCCATGTAAAATCGTTTAAGTATAGTTTGTGATTAAGATTTAATTACCTACAAGATACGGTAAAGACAGTTAAACTATGGAATGTCTAGACGCATGCTTAATTTTATGCATATAAAACGCCTAACCAGTTGAGATGACATTATGTATTCATATTGAACTTCGCCAGAGTGCGCCTAGATACATCCACGATAATCCACCTCTGCCACCCTACATCAGTTCCATAAGAGCGGTTCTACCAATCGTATAGTTTCTCCCACCATTTATTATACTTTTCCCGCATTTCATCCAAACGCCGATATAACAGTGCACGTTTTAGTGTCGGTCGTCAATTTTTCTTCGCCAGTTTCCTCCCTTCATTTCGGTCCCCTTCAACCTTCGTAACAACACTTCCACAAATCACTCCCATTCATATAAGACAAAATACATCGGAGTTTTTCATCCTTAAAGAAAGCGTTTTATTGTAAGGTAAAAAGTCATTAAAATAATTATAACAGATAATAGATTATAAAGATAAAGAGGTTAAGTAATATCAGAGTAAAAGATTCCATTTGACCCATCATGGTGCAGAGCAATAAATCAGCAAAGGTTCACCCACATTTAACATGACGTCCCGCATTTCTCCTTCTGCACTGTTTGAATACAAGTCACGATAAATGTTTTAACGTTTGCTAAATAATCATTGCTTCGCTTTTACAGATGATTGAGATAACATTACGAGTGGAAAAGCGTGAGTTGGATGCATATTCCTATTCCAACTTTCTGCTATAGACCATTCTATGTTATAACCTCATAAATTAATATTATGGAATAAAATAACATCTCTTACTAGAGATAAAGTCTATCTTTTTTGAAATGATATAATATTATAAATTCATATATTAATTAGAAAAACAAAATTTAAATTGTTTTTAAATCGTTCGGAAATATTTTGGATAAAAAAAGATTTTCTTTAAACATTAAAACTGATGTCATGCTTTGTAGAAGTGAAGTTAAAAAGCCGATACTATTAACGAAGAAGTCGTTTGAATAAATTTAGTACAGTTCCGAAAGCACAAATGGTTGCTGGACATGATGTACAACTATAATGGCTTCTCATACATAAAAAGGATTGTTATTCCTCCTCATCGAATACACATGTGCATCATTCTTGCCCAAAGAGTTCGTCTTCCATACCATTCAGTTTTGTATGGTGAAAGAAAATGTATAAATTGACCGTCAGATTAGAAGTGTTACCACTTTTATGTTCAAGTGTTAAATCTATATTTTATATAAAAACTAAAAACAGTACTAGAATTTAAATATTTTAATATTCATTAGCAAATTTAGAACAAGTTTCTACGAAAGTTAAAATTCATATCAACAAATTAAAATTCGGCTGTTATAACTATCAATAACACATTGATTAATTGTTTTACAGAATAATTTTTTCCATAATGTTAATGAAATATATTATTATAAGATTCGTTCCCGATTTTAGAAGAATTCAAAAGCTGAGTTAATTTATTTACATTGAAACCTAAAAGATGGAAGTTGTACCAACTGACGGTTTTATATTCCGATATGTTAAGAGTGGCGATAGTGTATTTGGTGTTGTCGCTTGTTAGATGAAGCGTCATTTGATATACTTAGCTATCCAAAGAATTTATTACGGTGCGCATACTATATATTAGAAGATGTATCTTCTTGAATTTTAATTTCTCGATTGGAAGATGAGTATGCATCTGCAGACAACATAATCCCATTAATCGTGCGTGACACTTCAATGTTTGCCCTCATAACTCCGTGACTGATTGGTATCTTCTAATGAAAAGATCATATTTTTTAAAATAATGAGACGGAGAACTGAAGTCGTTTTTCTTTCCCTTAATCACTTTTTTCGTTCCTATTCTACTGACGGGAAAAACTATTTATCTTTTAACCAGATAACGAGATTCTGTAGTAGATAACAAAGTGATCGTGTAGAGTTTTCTTTTGAGAAATACAGACATACAAGAGGCCTTGATAATTCGATTTTATTCACAAAAAAATTAAAATTACACCCAACATTCAGATCGTTCACATCCTTTCGTCCCCAGAGCGGGTCACACCTCCTACACAGAGGTCCCTCGACGGGGACCTTTCTAATTTTAGCTTAAGATCAGCTTAAAGCCCTTCTAATTAAGTAGAGGCTGGGTCCAGGTGGTTGGCTAACTTTATAAATTAAGGCTGGGTGAAATTAAGGCTCCGATTAAATAAAGGAAGAGGGATGAGTCCCGCTCTTGGGGGATCACAGATGATGTGCTCTAGGGATGTGCACGATGTTACACGACTCACAGGGCCCACCTAGGGGCCTCACTCTGTCATTAACTATGGCCTGCCCTCCCACCTTAACCAAAACAGGATCGGGAGTGAATGTGCGGTTCACATGCGTCCATTGAAAAAAAGGTGTAAAGGGTCCTATCCTCGGATGATATCCGGAGAGTTGGAGGCACAAACTGTTCTCCTTCGCCGTAGGAAAACTAAAGGACACATTTCATGTCTTTATATCTTTACACGTGGGAATAATATGTACATATTGCCCAGGGATTCTTTCTAGACCACAAAACGTACGAACGCACATAAATTGTACATCGAGTGTGGAGGATAAGTTTGGCCACAGGGGAGGTCACAGTTAGACAGATATAGGGCCTATTTTCCGTCCACTCCCGGATTGGTGTCTACAGTCAAAGTTCCTGCTTGAGACAGTGGAGGAGTGCTGACGGATGAGGGAGAACTGACGTTCGGTGGCTCACTCTGGCTATTTTCGGAGTCGCTACAGCTTCCGCTGCTGCTGCCTTTTTTTTCGCTATTGCCGTTGTGAGTCTTGACGTGTTTGCTAAGATGATCGGACCTCATAAACCGCTTGTTGCAGATAGGACAGGCAAAACGCTTCTCACCAGTATGGGTGCGCAAATGGCGTTGCAGTTCATCGGAACGGGTGAAACGTTTGCCACAGAATAGCCAATTGCAGACGAAAGGTCTTTCTCCCGTATGCCATCGGAGATGGGCCTTCAGGTGAGAAGTTTTACCGTACACTTTACCACAGCCGGGAATGTGACAACTGTGAATATTTTTCTTTCTTAAATGAGCCCCTGCCGGACCAAGACGCTCCGCTTCTTGACAATTGGGACAGTCACAGGTAGCACGGCCCGTGTAACGTCGTTGCGAGCGTGGAGATGGCATTTGGGGCAGCGCCGGCTGAGACAAACCAAATGGTGATGCGCCCACACCTTGGGCAGAAGGTAACATAGACTTATAAGTGTCCTGAAGGAGATGTTGACCTGAGGAAAGTAAGTGAGCCGTATTAGAGGCTGCCAGAGTAGGTGCCAGTCCATATTCCGAGCTGGGATAGTTGGTGGGCAATTGAGAGTGTAAACCCGATGTGGCACCCGACATGTCAAGCCAAGATCCCGCACCTGAGGCGGCATGCATATCCCACCATGACGTCGAATTGAGCGAGTTCACTGTCGACACCTCGGGTTTAATGCCACTGTGAGCGGCCCCGGCTACATTCATATTAAAGGGCCAACTCTCGTAAGGATGGGCGCTGACTCCCACACGAGAATACATGGTGCCTATATGCGAGGAGTCTCCGTGAACTTTTCCTAGCAGGGCTGTTTGACCCGTATCCGTTTGAGGAGAAGTAACGGCCGTACCCGGGTAGAAAAGGTTGTCACCTCCGTAAGTCGTGGAGCTGCAAGCAGATGTCACGGCCGGACGTTGATAGTTGAGAGCGGGTGCATTGCTATTGGCTAGACCACTTACTCGTTGGGAACCGAGAGGTAGCCCCGTTCCGGGGGGAGACGTCGATGCTTGATTTCCTTTCTTCCAGGGATGGAAGCCCTTTCCTACAGCTGCATCGGCCAGAGGCGGCGGGCTCTTGCTGGCTAGCTTGTTACATTGGGCAGCTAACATTGCCAGAGGAGTCCCTCCTAATCTCGGATGTTCCTAGAACGAAAAAAAGGCAACACTTTATACCTGTAGCTACTTCCATTACCATTTTCTACCATGCATAATAGTTTAATTCACCTACGCTGTGTCCTTATTAAGGAAACTACGCAACCATGAAAATTCGCAATTCATCCCTTTTACACATTTTTACACTTACATCCTCAATAACTGAATATATAAGCTATACTATACAGAAAAATTACAGGGCATCTTAAACTAACGTTAATCCGCTTCGGATAAGTTCAAACTACTAAAGGCTCAAACAGAATTTTGTGCGAAAGTCATTAAAAGGAAAAAGTCACAATTCTTTATAGGCTTCCAAGGCCAACGGAGGATTGATTCACCCTCAGCCTTTAATGAACCTTCGTGACGAATGAACTTAAAATGAAATATAGAGTTATGTATAATTTATAACCCCAACAATTAAGATAAGGCCAACTCTTCATTATCAACCATAATATTTTGACATTCAGTAAATCTTATTGGCTGTTTAGCCTATAGGCGGTAATTAAATCTATATTGATTTAACTTTAGGGGGAACTAAGATAGAAATAAACTATTAGTGGCCAGATTGAGTGTCTGACAACCCGAAAGTATCCGAATGACGGTTAAGAGGACAAAAACAACTTAGAAAGATCGATAATGTAGTCCAATTCGACAGTAGGCGCTAAAAAGTTATAGATCTGATGCCTGAACGCATGCATATATCAATCCTGGAGGAGCGTTTGTAATTCTGACTGCTGTGTGTCTTTATGGACTGCAAATGTTCAGAAAAATCCCTCTGTTATATTATATTTAATAAAAATTCGAAATAAAAATATAGGTGTCCTGAAAGTCTTACATTTTACGATAAAGTTATTGCTTAGAAATCAGTAACGATCTTGTCAATAGAACTCTTATTGAGATTAAGTTTTTCTGTTTATGCGTCATAAATCTGAATTTTTTTTTGGATTTATGATAGATAAACAATGAATTGACATCAAGAAACTAAATTATTGACTAAGATACTATTTGGAAGAGGATATTAAACTTATCACAGAGTAGTGTGGTTAATATACACAGCAAAGGGAGTGGACGCTACTAAGAACGGAATAGTAGAAACAAAAGTAAAAAAGCTGATTACGGATTCGTGTACATATGATATCATTTGTTACCAGGGCAATAATAAATACGTGACGACTGCGTGGCACCCGTCAAGCCAAGCAAAACGCACGCATGTGTCTAGATGTCACCACCCAATAACGCGTTGCGTCTCCGTTATCCTTTACGCTTAATTACAATTTTGGTTTTACGCTTGTATGACTTTAAACCTGATAAGCATATAATTCAACTTCTATGTAAATCTACATACTTTATCTCTTCCTGCAGTCATCGAGTGAAGGCGTGAAATACGGGTCAGCTCTTTGACATCTAAACCGAATCCATCGTTTATACGGGCTTTATGATTTATTTTCAAAGTCGAGAACTTATTTAAATATAATATAGATGTTAATATATGCACTTTTATAGTTGCGAATAAACTCGAACTGAGATTTCCAGCGAACAGAAAAGCATTCGGGATTTCACCGATAAACCGATACTCGGTACTATACAGTTCTAAAAATTTTTATAAAATCCTCCTCTTTTGTACGCCGCAACTCAACACTTCACCTTCTCTCTCCTCGCTCCGTCGAAAAAGAAAAAAATAATAATAAAAAAAGAAGCGACGTTGAATGAAAGAAGAAGAAAAAAAAATCAAAACTAAATCTCTTCCAAAATTACACTTGATTTGTTTTAAAATTGTAGTTGATCACCAAACCTGGGAATTCAATCATCTGATTAGGAAGCCGTTTTCGCTTCTGCTCCATCAAGTTTGAAAGTTGGCAGGATAGGAAAAGTTAAAATTTTCTCGCATTTTGTCGATTGGCAACGCCAACACGCCCGGATGGAGAAGAAAAATGGAATTGGCCCAGACGAAAGGTAGTAAATAAAATTCTTCAGTCTTTCGAAAAAAGAAAAAAAAATTGTAGAAAGCACTTAATTTTAACCTTAACTCTCCTTCTCCTCTTTTTTTTATCATTCCCTTCCTTATTGATTTTGGATACTGCAAAATAGCCCAGAGCGGCCTCCGACAAATAAACATTATTGAACGTCTAAAAACGGGTATTAGCTTAACTTACCTTAAAACTTACAAATTTTAGCCGATCGAGCCCTTTACAGGACTCTTTTCTACTAAACTTTTCGAAGAAATTTGTCTGGCATCGCTGTTCTTATTTTTATTTTATTTAAATACTACTGAATATTAAATGTTAGTTCGTATAGGCTAAATGACGCTGCAGAAAATTAATTCGTTTTTAATAACCCCAAAATTCTTAAGAGTCATGGTTTCTAATATTATTTTGTAGTAGATTTAGTCTTTTAACTTGAAATTTAAATGCTTTTACAAGGCTTGTAATCTTTACAAATTTAACAAAGTTACGAAAACAAACTGCGTGTAATCCTCTTGGATCTCTTTACAACTAGTTTACAATGTCTGAACCCCAACTCCTAGTTGTAACGGCCGGTTTACTTTTCTAAATCGATGCGAATCTTACACAAATTAGTTGTATTTTGTACCCGAAAGTCTTTTTTATTAATTTATGTGAAATGCCGTTCATTAAAAAAAAAATAATAAATGTTGGCACGAGATTGTCTTTTTAAAACAGACCGAGTGAATTTGAAAGAAGAGAAACGTTTAGAATTAGGCTTAGGCTGGTGTTAGCCTTCTCCTTACCTGTTGGTTTAGGTAAACGTCACTCCTTTTACTTCAACAGATACGATCAGCGATGCCAACTCGTATCAGTGAAAACACGAAGAGATTAGTAAGTGGGCATGCTCGTGGCCTAGGCAATTAGTAAAAGGAATGACCAACAGAGGGCAGAGCGGAGTGAAATGTGACGCTGCACTTCTACACAATAGTTCTGACAGCAGGTAGTCCAGGAGAAGAGAAGCCCTTAACTAAACTGACAAAGTGTCAATTCAGTGATAGATATCGTCCGATTGCAAATGTTTAAAAGAGGCAAAACAATTTTCGACGCCCAGCACTTACGGGGAGCCAGAAAGAAAAAGAAGAAAAAAAAATATATATACAGATAAGGGCCCGCTTTTCACCCAGTTAAATCTGCAGCGGGGCCCTTTAAATGTTCAATTATCGTTGTAACGTCTGTAAGTTGTCATGGTAACGGTTTTCGTACCGCACGGTTGCAGACGGAACTGCACTTCTTTCCTAGAAATAATTACGTTTAACTTGCGACTACTTGGACGATTGTCGTTCGATTTTTAGATTAAAAAAAACTTGTTTATAATCGAATAAATAAATAAAATATTATCGTACGGGTTCCTAATTTGCCTGTTCAATAAAGCAAAACCACGTATTATTTCCCTATTAAAACATTCGACTAGTTTCTACATCATTAATATCTGGAGGGGAGGGGAAAAAAAGAGAGAGAGAGAGAAAGCCTGAAGGCCTTATATAATCAGCATCACCTAAAACCGGACTTAGTTCTATTTGCAAAATACAATAAATGCTTGAATTTTGGATAATTGTAATGAAAATAGAAGAAATGGGAGTAAATATTAACTTTAATTTGCATGTAGTCTACTTTGCTAACTTTTCCAATAATGAAATTCACCGCAATCTCCAGTAACACGAGTCGACTCGAATTTAAACAATAGGTAATAAATGAAAATAAATTTAACAAAGGAATAAAATCAAAGACAGATTTAACACTCGAAAAAATATATATATACATATACCGGAAAATCGTTCGTATTTACATATTTATCGAAATAAGATACAGAATCACGCAATGCAATACGAGAAGGGAAAGAGATTTGCTTATCACGTGATCCATTATGTTTTATATAATTTATAAGTTTTCGATGAGAATATGTATCGATTAAACGCTTTTCCGTTATTTTTAATACACAAATGAAAACATTTATTCAATTTCTTTTCTGCTTCTCTATCAAAGTTGATTGCAAAAATGAAATAAAGTAAATTAGAAGGCCGGCGGTGTCTGAATTCAGATCATTCGTCGGAAGAGTGAAGGTCTAAATTTAAATGAAAAAGTGCACGATTGGAATAATGCCAGATGAATTTCTATGCAGTTAAGAGGTGGATTTAGGCCTATAGGTTCGTGGCCTACTACGTAGCTTGTGGTGTTACTCTTTACAAAAAATATAAAGAATTAGAGTGTTGACATTAGACTTTGCCCCGAGGAGAAGGGTTACGTATCGATTTAATTGAGTGTGAAAGACGAAGTTTTGAATAGTTACTCCTCGAAACGAAATATTTAAGAAATTCAATACTCATTTTATTAACAAATATAAATATTAATTGTTAATAAATGTGAAAAAGTCTTACAGTACTTTTAGTCGTAGTAGGTACGCAGATCCGGTAGATGTAGCTTATACGACCAAATTGACCAGACAAGGAGCGGTACAGAACTGAAAAGAAACAACATTCCTAACAAGTCTAGTCAAACAACAAGTTTTCACTTCTACAATACGCCTCCGGTACGAGGCCTAACACGGTACAATAAGCTAGAAAAATAGAGAAAGGCCCTCTGTTCCTAACAGAAGTAAAGCATGCCTTCTTAGGCATATATTGAGTAAATATAAGTTGGGACTTAGCTAATCTACACGACTACTTTGAAATAGATTGCACTCTTCGTATCATTTTCACTTATTAAAATTGTCTTAATTAGCTGGAATATAAGTGTTACGGTGTCGAACTAAAGTCCATATAAAAGCGTTAACTTGTGAGCATATTGTTACTGTAGCTTAATATCTGTAGTGTACTTTTTTACCAGGAAGATTTAATTTAAAAAATCATTATTTTCATTTAGACTTGTATCTCTTTACACGATCATTATGTTATTTCTGTCAGCTTATAACTTGTACAAAACGATCTCCAAAGTTTGTGTCGAATAATCAATAGATTGTTCGCTTTAATGAAAAGATACGATCCGAATAATAAAACAATTTACGAAGGGTAGCAGTGTCTGCGACAAGAATCAAAGATAAAATCAGCATCAACGCAAGAAATTGTTTAGTTTTGGATAAGTGAATCCCCCGGCCACATCTGGTGGGAAGCGAACAATGGGCAGTATGGGAACCATTTTTTCCGTTAAGTAAACTGTTTTTGTTGTATAATCCACACGCAATGCTTACAACTCGCAACAGGTAGAAAGAAGAGAAGAAAAAATAGAAGGGGCTGCAAGGACGAGCGATTAGCTTTAATTTCTCAGCTGACAATCTAACAATGTCCGACACTATAATAACACACTTATCAAGATTAACAGAAAATAAGAGGTCTCTCCATCACATTTGTTTTATGAGTGAGATAAGAGCACAAATATTAAAATATTAAATGGAGAAGCAAAGCAAAATTCTCCTCTATTCACTAAATTAACTGAAACAATTCGTGAACCGACCATTTTCTTGGTACCATTACAGAAAGACACCGGGTCTAGGACCTTGACCACTCCCAGGTGACCACGCAACTTCCACTCCATCTTCGCCTTTCCCTATGTTGAAACACGTCTTTAATGTAAGTGTAGCATGGCTCGAACGCATTTAGGCAAGAGCTGCGAGGCGCGCGTGGAGAAGGGCCCAAATGTCCAAGAGTCGAGACGGAGATATGCTTATACGTTATAAATTGGGGAACTGCGATAAAGATATGGACCGCATTGTTCTACCCTTCAACCTAGTAGAGGTGAATTATAGGTTGCTTACCCCAGGGAGTATGTGCGACTGAGCTTCTCCACCCAGTAATGCAGGTGTGAAGTGGCCGTGAAGGTTTACAAATACAGAAGTTAGCTATTTACGACACGAGGAGACAACGACGGAAGTCCTCAAAACAAGAAGAAGGGGCAAAGTCAAAAGGTTAATGGGAAACGGCAGATGACACCGTGTTCCATAATGGGTTCGTCCCAGTACTAACGACCTAGCTTTTGCGGGTTGCAAATTATGCCCCAAAACTGTGTTGTCATTAACTTCTTTGTTATGAAAACCCAGGTATATCCCGTAGTCCCTCGGGTCTGCTTTGTGGGGGACAGCTGACAATAATGTTCCAGTTCAGGGTATTCACCACCAACTCGTGTACAACACGGGTAAGACACAACAACAGGGAAGCACAGCATCAAAGCGGACCGTTCCCAGCAGGGACCCTGTGCTACAATCCAACCACTAGCATAACGGCTGGCCCGTGAACATCGTCGCCTTTCAGCGCTGCCCTTCTTCATCCCCAGAAAACCTATTTGTAAAGAGGGGAAAGACAAGTCGCCATTTTCTGCTGCTGTCCAGTCTGTTCCCTTTTGACACTATTGCAGTTTTCACACATGTTGCACGATGCCCAATCATAAATCTTGAAGAAACGATGGACGCAGGGTCTGTTTCAGCTCGTTAGTTCAGGGATGGATGGTGGAAATCAGTAGAGCGGATCCCTGTGGCTGAAGCCCTACCTGTTGGGTTTCCGCTAGAATTTTTTTCCTCTTTTCTGACAAATCTTTCCTTCTCTCGATTCAATTACGGATGCAAGAAGCTATTTTCCTCTAAAAAAATCTATAATACACTCCTGTAATAACTGTGTGTTTAATGCGGTTTACAATTGTAGCAGCATCGCATCGGTACTGCAACAACAATGGAAAGAATTTCGAATTAGTATAGCTTATGTGACACTGCTGGATATTGTGTTATTCGAAAAAAATTATAATAATAAAGAATCATCGTCCGTGTAATACAAACTTTTATTTATAAATATTAAATCATCAAGTATGAAGTGTTTTCTTCTGCATTATAAACTGTTAGGTAACATTCTCACATTCTCCATGAAAACACCTCTATCATGCTAGTACGGCAATAAAAATCGATTTTTTTTTAAATCAATTTAAAATGAAATTGTTGACTTTTCATTATGATGGATGTACAAAAGATTAATTTTAAATTAGCTCTGTTAAAGTAGTGTTTGTGAAAACAATTAATATACATATCTAAATTTATATTATTACATTATAACAATTACCAAACAAAAATACGCTTTTATAGTTTAATAGCAAGTCATCAAATTTATGTGAACAATGGTAGTAAACAATATATAACAATGGAGTTATAGACTTAGCTGTTGGAAATTTTGTAATAATACTGCAGTAATAATTTCCGATCCACCGCAATAATAATCGGTATTGAGACCCGGAACACTATTTCAGGTAACGTCTCGTGTTTCAAGTTTAGTATAGTTAAGTATTGTGGCATTCCCATTAAGGACATCAAAAAATGCCAAAATGTGCAAACCGCGATGGCCAAGCGACAATGGCAACCCGGGACAGGCCTCTAGCACTCCGAGGGCAAGAAATTCGAGAGGCCTAGTGTTTTGACAGTCGGAGCGTGAAGGGCTGTTGACGAAATCATTACAGCCAGATAAGGTTACAGAAATGGACAGGACCAAGCAGAGATGGGGGACGATCGATATCTAAAGTGGGCCTTTCTATCAGCCATGCGCCTCATCCGATACATCTATTATTGCCCTATTTGTCGCCGCACTTGACTTGTGTTTTGCTCGGTTCTTAGTAGTGCACTACACTCACTTCACTTTTCATTGTCCCTCTTACAAGCATGAAGTCGTATGTCACGTGATTCGGCCCTATCTGAAGTCCCCTTCCACCAGGCCCCACTCTTCAAATTCTTCTCTGGAAATGGATTCGGAAAAATATTAGACAGCTAACCTAATTCGGAAAAGATAAGTCGCCCTTCTAATTTAATTGTATTCTAAACAGGCTGCAATTTTTTCGAACTTAAACATAGGCATAAGTGCATACCTTAGGCCTATAATTTAGCCCCATTGTTTAGTCATTTTAGGTCAAGGGCAGTTAGATAAAGTATGATTTAATTCTAGCTTCGCACTCTTATCCAGTTACTGTCTTTATAAAGAAGAAAAATAGACTTTTTAGGCCCTAATAAAGATGTTAAAACATCTAAAGGCTATTTTCAAGCGATAGCTTTAATTAATTGATCGTACATTTTGCAAACATACGACGTGTAACACTCAATAAAACCAATGACTTGGTATCTGCAATCGGGTCCTTAAAGATTAGCTAAGTTTTATCTCCAAAACAGTAAAATCTTTCTCATCTTCATGCCAATTTGAAACCTATTTGTTTTTCTTAAGCCTGATTAATTCATTTGAAGACAATTTTTAGTTATTTATTGTGCAAATAGACCTAACTACAATTAGTTTATAAAACAGTCAAATTATAACAAATATTTCTATAAAAATTTGTTACTGTCACTAGTTCATGAATGAAATTTCTATGACATTGATAAAGTTTTCCTTCAGTAGCAAAGTATACCTCTACACCTTATGATAGCATGTTAATAACAATAATTAAATTTTTCTGTTGGCCTGTAAAAAATCACCTAACTAAAAGACAGTTTCCCATTTTAAATATGACTTTAGATCCAGTTTATTATTAAAGATTTATTTGATTTATTTCTATAATAAGACGTTTTAATCGGTTATATAAAAGTATTGCGGCATTACTGCAAACTGTTGCTTTGTATCAGTTTTGTCAAACTTCAACGATTAAGTTGTGTACGATGTTAAGTGATCGATAATATGTTGTTTTTTTTATGCGCTTCTAACTTAATTTTAAATACTATAGGCCTTAGAGTTTAACTGAAAAAGTGGCTTATGAATATGTAAAGCTGGTGTTTACAA